ACTGGGCTTGGCTAGTCTAGTAAAGAGAAGGACCAGGGGAGACATGGACTAGATGACCTACAAGGCCCCTTCCAAGTCGGATTGTCTGATTATCTGGTGATAGTTATGGTAGCTCTGTGCCATTGGAAAAGTCTAGATTTTAGACAAAATTTGAATTTATCTTCATGGTAACGTTTTACAATTACTGTTCACTAATTATCTTACAAAACAAATGATTCTTATAAAAATTCTCATCAGCAATTTCTTCATTATGTGTTAGATTTTTACCCCTTTCCTACAGGAACTCAAGGATTCACCCCTCAAAAAGCAACACCACCTGAAGTTCATTCTTTGAAGGAGATGGTTTAGAAAAGTGAAATATAAATAAACCTGATTAAATAGATTGGGCTAAAATGGTGGGGCTTCATTTTTTTAAAATTTTGTTAATTGCTTACAAGATAATAGGTATAGTAAAAACATAGTTATGAATACATGGATACATATAAGAAAAAATATAAAAGAAACAATAGGACAGGGACGGTAGGCACGTTGGTGCGCTTATGCACGTCCCCTACAGACCTCTTAGGAAAGGGGTGAGGTCAATAGTAGACAGTCTAAGGTTAAAGTTTTTGGGGTTTGGAGAAGAAACTACAGAGTATTCCAGACATTGACCACTCTGTTGCTGAAGTTGTATTTCCTGCAATCAAGTTGGATGTGATTAACCTTGAGTTTGTATCTATTGTTTGCTCCTGTGTTGTTATGGTTGAAGCTGAACTATTCATTGACAAGTAGGACATTGCAATTTATGATTTTATATACTATACTTAGATCGGACCGAAGGTGGTGTGGTTCTAGATTTTCTAGGTCTAGAATTTCAAGTCTGGTGGCATAAGGTATTCTGCAACGAGTAGAGGAGTGGAGAACTCTTCTTGTGAAATATTTCTGGACTTTCTCAACTGTGTTAATATCAGGTATGTAATGTGGGTTCCAGACTGATGAGCTGTATTCGAGTATTGGTCTAGCAAATGTTTTGTATGCTCTAGTTATTAGTGTAATATTACCAGAGAAAAAGCTACATAAGATTAGGTTAACAACTCTTAATACCTTTTTGGCTATGTAGTTACAGTGGGCTCTAGTATTTCTCCTTCTGTTCTGCAATAGACTTAACAACATGCTTTTTGTGATAATTTAAAGGAATGAAATGGATGCATTAAGGTCTGGAAAGCTTTTTATGTCTTAATTCCCACCAAAACAAAGAGTAAAACATTCAAATCTGAGGATTGAAATGGGGTGCTGAAGCACCTCACTTAGTATACAGTAGATTGCCCAACCTGGGAGTGGTCCAAAGTCATCTAGTGTTCAATTTACTGAATGTTGTTATGTTTGGGGATCTGTCTATGTATTTTGTGCTTTCTCTTTTTGGATGCTGGGGTTTTTTCTTTTTAAAATGATTAATAAAATGAAATAAAGTATTTATTGTATTTTTAAAAGTGTCTAATCATGTTCATAGGCTTGAATTATGGGATGTTTTGCACAATAACAAAGATTGCAGAATGCCGTAAGAGTATGGTGGAAGTTTAGCATGCATGAGAATTGAATGCTTGGCTGGAAGTTCAGCTGAGCAAATAGAAAACAAGCATGTTTTCCCCTTGGTTGTTTGAATATATTTATGGATAAATGAATAATTAATTATGTTGGTGCTGTTAGTGATGAGATGGTCGAAACATAAATGCAGGGATAGTTTAGGTGCTAAATTACTCATGCACGAATACAAAACTGAGTAACAAAAATGAGTAAAAAAACTGAGTATCCAGTCTTCATATGAATCAGTTGAGAGGAAGATGGAGAAAAATGAAGTTGGATAGCACTAAATAAGATCCTTTAAAAAGAGGTGTAAGAAAGCACTGATTAGTACAGTACACTGGAAATAAGAATAGTTTGCAAGAAACAAAAGGTAATGAGAGGTACAGGAAGTTACAGTGCTATAAACTAGTTTTAGATTTATTTTGTGTCTAGTTTCTTTTGGTTATCACATCTTAATCTATGTATGTGTCTTGCATAATATTGTTTATCCTGAAAGGGAATTGTATAATGGGTGTATGGTTATGTACTGTTTGCTTAGCATCTATAAAATCAAATAACAGTATACGCCGCTTGATAAAAATTGCTGATCCTTGTTACAATTTCCCCTTGAATGGGAATTCTTTTAGCTTACTTACCTCAGTTAGTTGTAAATTGTCTTTCCCACCTTTTTCAGCTCTACTGTTTTCTTCCAAAGTACTCTTACCTCCAGATTGAATCAAGGTAATTTTAAATTGTGACCAGGTATACAAGGGGGTAAAGTTTTACTTAAAGCATCTGCAGTCTTTGTCAGCCTTATTTTGACAAAGGCTTTGTTCAGTTCAAATGAGGTTTCCCCTAGATCTGGATGGCTCCCATTCTGCTATTATTAGAAAACCTGTGAAGACTTGGCTCTTCACCCAGACCTTAAGTGAGAGAGAATGAGATAGCTTGCTTCATTCCATCTGGTCTATTGCACTTGATGCCTTTAATCTTTATTTTTAATGTTTTACTGCTGTTATTGAAATTTGTCTGTGGTGTGTGCCTCCCAAAGTCATTAAATTTAATAAATAATAATTATTACTACTGCTGGTAATCTGCCAAAGAGAGTTAGAGTGAAAGCAATAGGAACAAGCATCTGTGCAAGCAGCAGGAAATTGGCAAGGCTTCTGTTTTCTTCCACAGAATAGAGACAATGTCTGATAAAAAAAATATCTGTTGGAACTGTAGAGTGGCATGCTGGTTGAAGAATGATATTCATTCATACTTGCCTGAATGAAGAGATGTAATAAGATCCCTTCTGAAATAATTCTAATGGCTCTTGTTCAGATATTTTGAAGCAATTGGGGCTTGATTCTGATTCTTGTGTAGTTTCTATCTATTCTAGATTATATTGGCCTGCCTGATGTTATCTGAAATAAATCTTGCCATTTTATTTGACTTTATCTAAACCATTTATCAGTAATCTATAACAGCTTAAACATTACTACTTGTTTCTGTAAAGAAAACAGAAAATAATAGTCACAGTTTCAGATCCCAAGAATATTGTACAAAATAATTTATAATTATCTCGCATTTTTTGGTCATTTCTGTTGTTTTACTATGTTTCTGGGTTGTTAACGCTTCATCAGCCATATACATTCAGATAGACAAAGGATTTCAAACTTAATTTATTGCTGGGGCTTTTATAAAGTAAAATTTCAAAATGCTACACAAAGGATAACACCAATGAAGGCAGAGCTTGCTAACCTTCAGTGTGTCAATTATTGTGGTAATTTTCATAGCCCCTGTTTTGCTAGTGGTTGCATTGAAAAGATTACCTGTGCTACACATGTCTGCACAATTACAAACACTAAAGCCTTCAAAAGGCTATTATATGTCTAATGTACTTATATACTGGTATGACATTGCAGCTGAGTGCTACTTTCAGAGACGGGATTATTTGCCCAGTATTCTATATACATTTCTCCTGACTAAAGAAAGCATTGAACTAGTAACCTCTAATGAAATATGAGGAATCTTAAAATTTCCAAGGATCTCTAAAAAAAAATGAAATTTAATGTTTCTGTTTTAAATAAGATGGTGCCATCCAGCAAATAAAAGTCAGGGGGACATTTGAGCATAACTTTTGTTTGCTAGGCACAAAAATAAAGCCCAAGAGTACATTGACACCAATATTGAAACCAAAGAACTGGGCCTGTATAATGACACAAATGCCATGATAAAATAGAGAGACATCATTATCTTGGCAGCTGCAAAATCAAGGGAATCAGGTAAGTAAAAGGAAGTTTGAAAAATATTACTTCTAAACCAGTACTGTAAGGTACAAGATAAAAAGATAAAAAGCTGCAGCTGGGTGATTAGAGTTGCAAAAGCTGGTTTTATAATTGTGAGCCTAATTGCAGAAGTGTGGGTTGACATGAAATAAAATAGCATATGAAAATGCTTGCTATGAAATGGAACAGAAAGTGAGTTGCTTCCTCATATTTTCGCAGTGCAGAGTATTGACAAGCCTTCTCCGAGTTGTATGAAGGCTGTCCAGCCTTCAAGGCAGGTTCTAATTATGTTTAAATTTGTAATAGTCTCAGATCTAAACCATCTGCT